AGCCTTATCCTTACCTTAACACTAACCCTAACATTTGACGGTATTTTTTTAAAAAACAATATAAATAACGAAAAAATATAAACAACGACGATTATTTCCATTTTAGGCGGTGGGTACATAGATTTTGACGAGACCGTTGTTGATTTCTGGTCGGCTCCTCGGTTTTATAAAATTTGGAAAGAAGAACATCCTAATGAAAAGGACCCCGAGAACTGTAAGGCTGGGATGCGCTTTTCAAAAGCCTCCGTGCGATTTCTAAAAGATGTTCGGATAGGAAGAAAGTTCAGAAGGCTATTAATATGCTGAATTGCCTTGAGGTTGCAACATTTATGAATTATTATCCAGACTTTTTATTATGTTATCCAGACTTTTTGTTTCGACTTATTGTCGATTAGACTTTTCGTCTCCAGACTTTTCGTCTCGACTTATTGTCGATTTCTCCAGACTTTTCGTCTCGACTTATTGTCGATTTCTCCAGACTTTTTGTCTCGACTTATTGTCGATTTCTCCAGACTTTTCGTCTCGACTTATTGTCGATTTCTCCAGACTTTTCGTCTCGACTTATTGTCGATTGTCGTTTCGCCACGACTTAGAGACTTTTCGTCTCCAGACTTTTCGTCTCGTTTCGTCTCGGCTTATTGTCGCTTCGTCTCGACTTATTGTCGTTTCGTCTCGGCTCATAGTCGCTTCGTCTCGATTTATTGTTTATGGATTGTAATTAAAAGTCCTGGATCTTCATGTTATTCAAATACTTTTGTTGCAACGAAACTAACAAAATTGGTTTCTTGTTAGAATCGTCGTTATAAAGAAAACGGTCGACCCTTTACGCATAAAAATAAAAGCAGTAATTCAGGGATAGGGAGTCTAAGTTTCGTATCTTGTGATGGACTAAGAATTAATAATTTGTCATCCACATTAACTGAACCAAATTATCTGAACTAGCAAACGGACACAACCGTCCTTATGGAGATGAACTAGAAACGCCATGCAAAGTTAGCATATATAATTTAACAGTAAAACGCTTTTCTACTGCAAATTTGAACTAATAATTTTTTCGAAATTTATCAAGCGTATGAAAGTAAACAGCAAATATATTACGGATATAAGATTTATAATTTTTTTTTACAAGGCATAAAGTTATTCATAATTAATTCCACGCGTATATTTAGAAAAAGAAAGATTCTGGGTGTGTGCTTCCCGAAGAGAGTGTATTATATTCTGATGGAAGTATTGTATTTCCTGATGGAAAAGAACTCCCTGCTGAGTGTGTTGTGCTTCCTGAAGGGAGTGTACTTCCAAATGGACAAATATTAACAAGACCATCCCCTCTGAACTTCTTTCCGTCGACATCAAATGATATATATGAGAACGAAGATGAGGACGAAGAAATGACAATTGATGATGACGATGACGATGACGATGATGATGAACTCTCAAATTTAACGGACATTCAAAAACTTGAACAAATTGATGCACATCCGTGGAGCTTACCATCAGGAGATTCTGTAAACAACATTTTCACACAACATGTGACACAAAACCTTGATATCTTAAAACATAAGGAAAAACTGAATCCAAAAGAAAGAGCTACTGTTCGATATTGTATGTCAAAAATCATTGGCCTTTCAACACATATGAAAGAATGGTTCACCATTCAAGACCGCCAATACATCATAAAAAAGTGTGAGCCGATTTTAATAATCCCCGAATTAGGAGAAGAAGTGGACATGTTTATTAATAATGTAGAACAGGTATAATGCACCGTTATAAATATTGTCGCAGATGATCGTGGAATCGAATGATAGTGAAATTTGAATCTATTTTATGTATGATTTTTATGGTTATCTAGGATTTAGGGTTAGAGTTATTAATAAAAGAGTATAGGTGAATTTTGGTAAGGCTTATATTTTCAAATTGAGACCC